TTATTTCGGACAATAGCAAAGAAGTGGGTCAACCATTAAATTATTATTTAATTATTTATTTTGTCAAATTCCTAATTTTTCAAAAGATTAATCATAGAAAACATCATTTTTGGTGTTTAATGTGATGTCTCAAAAAATGTTAAATCACCATCTTTATTCATATGTTCATTCTGTATGATGTTTTTACATCCATTTACACTCCTAATATTGTATTTGATTGGAGAATTTGAGGAGAGATTTGAAAAGGGAAATAGAAAAGGTATGTGAAATGTAAATAAAATATGCTTAAATTTCAGCTAGTTTCACACACATTTTCTCTTTCCATTTCCAAATCCCTTCAAATCCCTCAACCAAACACAGCATAAAAGATCATAAAAATTTCATACAAATGGATTGTATATATGATTTTGAAATTTTTTTTTTAATAAACAAATCATGTATTTATCAATATCCAATCAACTTAATTTTTTTGTATAAATAATTTGATCGACAATCCTATAAATTGAACAATTTACATCACCAAAACGGGCCTAGAGTAGGCCCACATCCATGTAAATTAGACCCTCCAATTTAAAAAGTGAATTGAAGACGAACTTGATTTCTAATGAAATGCTAAGGTTTTGACAAATAGACTAAGCCAGTTGGTTGACTATAAACTCCAGTTAGACGGCCAATAAGGTAGTTTAGCATGAGCATTTCTTAACTAATCCATTGTTGCTGGCTTTTTGACAAAAAGAAGCAAATTTGGCAACAACGATTAAAATCATCTGATACCAATACTAGTGTGGTGGCCTAAAATATGTCAGTTTATTGGGAGTGATTCAAATAAGTCCTAATAATGGGTCCAGCTCAAATAAGAAAGTTCATTAAACAAATATCATACACCTCATCTATAAAATGAAGACATCTCAAGAATAGAGGTATGCCTCATTTCTCTACAACACAGCACACACACTTTTCAATTCTTCATCTTCTTTCTTTAATTCAAATGCTAAATTTATCATCGGAGTGTCCTCGGCCGACAACCACGGTTGAGTGGCGCCAACCATGTTTATTTTTGCAGAATTCATCTTTTCATTGGATCTCTTCAACAATTCATGTGAAATGATTTTTGAATCTCACAACCAGTCATCGTTAATTTTGGGATGCCCACCCCATTTTCCACTTTAATTTAGAAGCAAATATTAAAAAAATGAGTGGTCCATGAGGTGAGCTAGGACAATCATTCAGTTCTTGCTAGGCCATTACTAAGATACAATGAGGCAAATGCCAAATCATTGCCTTGCAATGGAACCCAACTTTCTAAATTTGGAACTTTGAATGCACAAGAAGACATCAACAACCAGTGTCACAAGGTTTGATTCTACAACTGTGAGGCCTTGAGACCCCACCACCATTGGTTAGGGTATGGGGCAACATCAACATATGTGCATGAAATGGGGACAACATTTATGACAAGTTAGGTGTGCTATTTCAAGTTTAAATTTTGAAATAACGACACATAATAGTCGTAGAATTATATTTTAATTTTCTATCCGACTCTTATAGTTTTATCATGTTGCCATGATTTGAATTCAATATAATTTAGAGTGATTCCACTTATACTACCAATCTAACTTCTTACACCCTCAAATTTTATTTTATTTTAATTATATATTTTTATAATTTATACAATTCCTTTATTACCCTCATCTCTAACTGAGAGGGTAATTTGTGTACAAATTGGGTCGAGCTAAGTAGACTCTTTTTTTTTTTGAAGTTAGGCCACGCAATGGGCCGTAAGAAGACTTGTACTGACCAGTCGTGGGCCAAGCAAACACTGTGGCATTCACGAATGTATAGTCTGGGCTTGGACCTGGCCTATGAAAGCAGTCCTTTACCAAGTTGAGATATGGTCGATAGAGAAGGCCGAGCAATGAACAGCTCGACAGGGAGCCATCCGGTTGCTCCGTTTCTGGTCATGTGGTCCGAGCAACTGGGGACTGAGATAAGGCAACTCGGTCAAGCATATTTATAAGAGCGTAAAGATGTGGCCATCTCACTTGGCTTGCAGTAATCAGGGTGTTCGAAGGATAAGCATTATCCCTAGGCATGAAAATCCTAGGAGGATTCTACTATGGAAAGTTAGAGTCGTACTAGGGTTGAGCCAGACGGAATCAATAAAAACTCATGACGTAACTTATGCACGGGTATCACTATTCTTATGCCCAAATACACAGAGCTTTTTGTGTCTATTGTCTACTGCACTGACTTAGGCATCGGAGAGGTTTCCAGTACACACCCGTCAGCTAGCTCACGTTTGTATCTTCAAGTGGTAAAGCGATGACGTTTAGAGGAGTGCAAACCTGATCAACAGGATTATACGAGAAGGTTATTATGTCCCACTCTTATAGTTCTATCATGTCGCCATGATTTGAATTGAGTGATTCCACTTACACCACCATTCTAACTTCTTACACCCTCAAATTTTATTTTATTTTTATTTTATATTTTTATAATTTATACAATTCCTTTATTACCCTCATTTCTAACATTCTTTCTTCTCCTTCTCTTTACACTCAAAACCTAAAAAACCCTAACCCTAGTTCTTCCCCATCACCACCACCTCCACCGGCCCACTACTCGCGCTGCCACTCCGCCACCACCCTTCACCTTTACCCAGCCACTCTCTGCCTCACCCATTTCCTTTACCGTCGCCACCTTCCTTTTCTTCCCTCTTCTTCTTCCTCTCCCTTTTTCTTGTTCTTCCTTCAGATCTATTAACAAATCTAGTTAATCAATTGAGCAATGATGATAATAGCATGGCATAGTTAAAGTGCAACAAAGAATTAATATGAAAAATTCAAACACAATAATCTTAAGCAATGACATCATTTCAACAAAAAACTTCATCCCAAACTGCTCAGGGACCAATCTACCAACTAACAGTCATACACATACATGTATATACAAACAAAACAATTCTATCTCTAGAAACTCAGTTTAATCTCCAAATCGTAGCATTACCAAACAAGAAATACATTAAAAAATACGTAAATTTTCAAAAGCATAAAGACAAAAAACGCTGGTGTGGCAGAGTGGTGGCGCCAGTAGTGGGAGGGTAGAGGTGGTGGTGATAAGGGAGAACTAGGGTTAGGATTTTTTTTAGATTTTGAGTGCAAAAGAGAAAGAGAAGGAACGATGTTAGAAATTAGGGTAATAAAAGAATTGTATAAATTATAAATTATAAATAAATAAAATAAAATAAAATTTGTAGGTGTAAGGAGTTAGATTGGTGGAATAAATAGATTCACTCTATAATTTATCAGAGTAGTTGTAAATTTATGCCTTAATTCTCTAATTATCTGTCCGAACCTCTTGGTATCATCACGTTGCCATAATTTGAATTCAATGCAATTTATTTATTTTTTCAAAGATTAAGAAATTTTTAAGTGTTAATTTTGATTACATGGCAACTAGAAAGGCATGTTAGCGAATTGAGAGAGAGAGAGAGAGAGAGAATGGAATCCAAAGATGTTTTTGAGACCACACAACAACCAAAAAAAAATTAAAAGAAAAAAAATAGGGGCCCTCCAGAGTCCATTAAATTTATTATTGCAAGGGCCCATCAACCTTCTTAATGTAACCCTGGCTAGGGTAGATATCTCTATAAACAATGCCTCAAGGATGTTTTGGCCCACAAGAAGGGCTTATTATATCCCAATATAGAATAGATTTTAGAGAATAAATAAACCAACAAATAAATAAAACTAAAGTAATGAAGCTTGTGCAGCTTCTATCTTCATGTGGAGACTTGAATTATTTGGGTCTCACCTAATTCTTTGGGAATGAATAGGGGATCTCAAGAAATGGCCTAACACAATATATAAATATTTGTACGTGTAATAAACTGGTTATAATATTTCTCAAAAAATAAAAAGATTAAAGTTTCACAATATTTTATTGTTGTTTACGGATAAGGTTCAACAAGACAACTATTATTTAAAATTTTCAATTAAATTATGTGTACAAAGTAAGAAAATAATTACCTATTGCAAAACTGATAAAAAAGTTGGAGTCTGCAGCTTTTTCCTTCCTATCAATTACCAATTGCAAGAGTAACTCAAGTAGAGAATGGGTTAAAATCGTTTCTTCTAAATATATATTCCTTTCAATGGTATAAACTCTTAAAAAATAAATATTTGTGAATGAATATGTAATAAAAAAATTACAAAACTGTATTTGTTTTAATACTTTTTAAAAATACTTAATCTAGATACACTTAAAAAATAATTAAAAAATTAATAAACAAATAAAAAAAATTGGAAAACAAAAAATTCAAAAATTGTTTTGAAAAACTCAAAACCAAATAGAGTGATATTAACCTCTTTTTCTTTTTTAGGAAAAAAAAGTACATAAAATACATGTAATATTGACCTTTAAAAAAGAAGAAAGCCAATTTTATTTCAAATTTTTACAATTTTGATAACCAGTGATGGGGATAGTTGGAGGCTTTTTGTCTCTCTCTTCTGAAAGTGTTGGTCAGAGGAATTGCAGCCCAGCCCATCTCCTCATATGGGTAGATGATCCAACCAACATTGAAAGCTCGGCTTTTTGACTGTGTATTTCGGCCCGTGTGTCACCCTAGTATATATTTTAAGCTGGTAAATCCTATCTAAAAATTTAAAAAAAAAAAAGCTGATAAATAAATATTCCGTTTTAACGTTTAAAATTATGATATGAATTTTAGGTTGAGAGGATAACAATAATTTACTTAAATTTAGATAAACATTGATAGTTAGTTTAAATTTGAAAAGAGATATTGTAGGGATATCAACCCAAAATCAAAATAAAAATCTACTTGATAAAGTTCAACAAGACACAGAATCAAAATAAAAATCTACTTAAAAGATGAGATAGAGTTGAACAAGATAGTTAGTTAAAATTTAAAAATTTTGAAAAGAGATATTGTAGGGATATCAACCCGAACCAAAATAAAAACAAATCAAAGCTCCTTGTAATCTAAAATCAATTGTCATAGCCATTAGTGATTTTGCTTCTCTCCCTTAGAAGAATGGCAACAACAGTGAAACTAATGCTTGTGACATGCATTTTGGCTACGTGGGCAGTGTTGGCTGTCAACAGTACAATGCAACCGATGCAGTCCCCAGCTCCTGCGCCGAGCGTGGACTGCACTGATCTCATGTACGACATGTTTTCCTGTCTGTCATATTTGACAGTCGGAAACAACGATACAAAGCCCGGGGACTCGTGTTGCGCTGGACTTAAGACGGTGATCGACACCGATGCAGATTGCTTATGTAAAGGCCTAAAAGCCAGTTCTGGTTTGGGTTTTAATATTAATTTCAAAAAGGCCAAGGCCATACCTTCTGTTTGTAACATCCCTACTCCACCGTCACTGACCAGCTGTGACTGTGAGTGATCCAACCTATCTCTCTCTACTACACACGTAAATATATTTTGTTTTTATTTATTTATTTATTTATTTTTATAATGATGTGTTATTGAATTTTGTATTTTGTATGCAGCTTCCTCTTCTGATGCTTCTCCTGGTATGTGGTTTTTTTTAATGATTTTTTTTTGGTCCCCATCTCCGGATACCTTTCACAATTACAATATATGGAGTTATGTTTATGCTGTTATTTATTTATCTTTTTAATGGGATTGTTTAGGTTGGATTTAAATCTTTGATTTGTGGAGAGTTTTGAAGAACAAAAAAAGATATGTGAACGAAATGAAAAAATATATATATATATATATATATATTTATTTTATTTTTTTGAAGATAAAAAATACAGATACATAGGAACTAATGAAACTTTTTGACACCCTATTTATCTCCTAGTGAAATTTGACCTCCCAATCTCTCACGTGAGAGTGTTAGATAGGGTTTTTTTTTGTGTTGGATAGGGTTTTTTTTTTTTTTTTAAATTGAAATAGAATAAAAAATATTCATTCTCTTGAAAGTATATCTATAAGCAAAGTGTTGTTAATGGAAATTAATTCTCTGTTCTCATAGGAGTAAAGTGAAATTTTTTAATTTTATTTTTTCGTAATGATGGGAAATTGTATTTTCTATTTTATATGCAGCCCCCTCTCCTCCCTCTACTCCAAGTACTCCTCCTGGTATGTATTTTTTTTTCTTCAAAAATTATGATTCAATAGTAACTGGTGTTTTAAACCTTTGTGTATAGTGTATTTCTAATAGTGTATTGTACAATATTATAATTATCATATTTTGTTGAAATATGTAAATTAAATTCATTTGATATATAATTACAATGTACTAATTTGAAAAATAAATTTTACACTTTACTGTCATTATGAAATTATGTCAATTATTCTATTTTAAATATAAATTTTACACTTTACTGTCATTATAAAATTATGTCAATTATTCTGTTTTATTTGTTATGATATGTCACTGTTGTATTAATCTAATACAATACAATGATTTCCCAAAAAAACCATTACATGATAAACAATATGTATGCTTCTCTCATATCACTTTGTAAACCCACATTTAAAATTATTTATAAATTCTGTATGATTGTTTTCATTGTGCTTGATGTAGCTAATCCTCCTCCAAGCATCCCTCCACCAGAAACAACTCCATCACCTCCAACAATAGAGCCAGGTGCTCCGGCACCCAGCGTGGATTGCAGTGATCTGATATACGACATGATAGACTGTCTGACATATTTGACAGTAGGAAACAACGATACGAAGCCAGGAGACTTGTGTTGCACTGGACTTAAGACGGTGCTCGACACCGATGCAGATTGCTTATGTAAAGGCCTAGAAAGCAGTGCTAGTTTGGGTTTTAATATTGATTTCAAAAAGGCCAAGGCCATACCTTCTGTTTGTAATATCCCAACTCCACCTTCACTGACCAGCTGTGACCGTGAGTGATCGAACCTATCTCTCTCAATTCAAATTTTGTTTGAAGACTATATTTTTCATAATGATGTGTTATTGGATTTTCTGTTTTGTATGCAGTTGCCTCTTCTGGTTCTCCACCTCCTGCTGGTATGTGTTTCTAATTTTTCTGTCGTTTTGAATTCATTGATTCAAAAGTTTGAGTAGCGATTTAAAAACCTCCTTTGCATTGCGATGATTTGTTTGGTCATTGTCTTGAGAATTGCGAGTAAATGTACACATACATATAGTTTTTTTTTTTATAATTTTTTTTTATTTATTATAATGATGATGGGTTATTGGATTTTCTATTTTTATATGCAGTCCCCTCTCCTCCTTCTGCTCCCAGTACTCCCCCTGTTTCGCCTGGTATGTATCTTTTTATTTTGTTTAAAATTAATTAATTCTATGGTGATTCAAAATCCTTCAATCTTTTGAATAGTTTTTCTAGTTACTTCAATAAAAATCTATGTGTTACTTAGGCTAATTTGAAGGGTGATCCCTACCACATTAAAAATAAAATTACATAGATTTTCTGTTTTAGTAAATTTATGATTATGATTCACTGGTGTTGTCATATTTTGTTGAATTGTTTTATATATCCAAAAATAATAATGCATAATTGAAATATGTGAATAAGATTTATTTGGTATATAACTCTAGAATTATTATATTTTGTTTATTACGTGATATGTTACTATTCTGTTAATCTAAATAGTATCATATCAGTTACCTCATACTAATACAATGATTTTAACAAAAACATTACATAATAAACAACATGTGATTAGCAATGAATTGGAAGCCTAATTATGCTAGTCTCATCACATTGTAACTTGCATTTTGAATTGGAATTTCATAAATAAATAGATCACACAGCACCACAACTCATTATTTTCTATGCAAATGGACATACCCTTGATTGATATTCAACTTTTATATAATTTTGAATTGCACATTAAATTTTCTTAGTATTTATAAATTCTGTGTATTTAGCACTTCATTCAACTCATGATTGTTTTCATTGTGTTGATGTAGCTACTCCTCCACCAATCAGCCCTCCACCAAAAACATCCCCACCTCCTCCAACAACAGAGCCAGGGGCTCCGGCACCCAGCGTGGATTGTACCACTCTGATATACGGCATGTCTGATTGTCTGACATATTTGACAGTTGGAAGTAATGAAACAAAGCCAGAAGACACGTGTTGCACTGGACTTAAGACGGTGTTAGACACCGATGCAGATTGCTTATGTGAAGGCCTAAAGAGCAGTGCTAGTTTGGGTTTTAACATTGATTTCAAAAAGGCTAAGGCCATACCTTCTGTTTGTAAGATCCCCACTCCACCATCACTGACCAGCTGTGATCGTGAGTGATCGAACCTATCTCTCTCTACACAAAAATAAATATATATATATATATATATATTTAATTTCAAATTTTGTGTACTCTATTTTTCATAATGATGTGTTATTGGATTTTCTGTTTTGTATGCAGTCACCTCTTCTCCCTCAACTCCTGGTGCTCCTTCTCCTCCTGGTATGTGTTTTTGTTTTGAATAGTCTTCTAGATCCTTAAAATAGTAAGCGCAAAAATAAATAAATAAATAAAATAAATAATCAATGTATTGTTACTCTCTCCCTTCTAAAAAAAAAAAAATGTGTTGCTACTCAGATTAATTTTAGTGGTGGGTAAATTGCAGATTAGGATTCACTGGTGCTTTGTGTATTATGGTTTTAATATTGTATTGTATAATATTATAAGGATGACATTATTCTATCATATTTTGTTCACTTATGTTGCATATTCAAAAAAATTACCCAGAATTAAAATATACGTATAAGATTTATTCTTTGTATAACCCTCAATCACTAACTTCAAATTTACATTCTACACTTTATTTTCCTTATAAAATTATGCCTATAATTTATTATTTTGTGATAAATGTCACTATTGTACTGATCTAATAGCCTCATATCAGTTATCTCATACCAATGCAACAATGTCAACAAAAACATTACATGATAAACAACCGTGATTAGCAATAAATTGGAAGCCTAATTATGTTCGTCTCAAATCACTTAAATAATATAATTAGAGAAAATTTTATATCTTGAAACTTATATGTTAAATACATATTAAATTTTCTTAGTATTTATGAACTCGGTGTATTTGGCATTATTCTTAGTTCCTTCATCTGAACTTATGATTGTTTTCATTATGATGATGCAGTCGCCAAGGTTCCACCACCCGCCACTAGCCAAGGAGGAAAAGTTAGTGACGCTCCGGCACCATCCCCTGTTACCAACTCTGGAGCTTATGCCATGACTTATTCCCGTTTTAGTATGGTGGTTGTTCCATTCCTGTATATCTTAGCATAAACTAGGAAGAACATATGATTGCGACATGTTATGTAGTTTTTAGCATGCTTTCTCTCTTAGTACTTAATTAGGATTTATTTATCAGTTTTGTGTTTGTTGCAAATTTGACATTATGTTTTTGTTTAGTTGGTACGTAGTGATATTTGTTTTCAACATATGAGCCGTTTCTGAGTTTGTAGGGTAAAACTCTACTTGGTTTGTTGTAAGGTTATATATGCCCAACAAACCAAGTACATTACATGTTCAATTTTTTTCAACATTTGTTAAATTTGGAGTTCTATCAGGATTGTTAAAAGGCTTAATCAAGTTTCCAGACTAGGACTTGAATGACATAGAAATGTAGTTTACTTAAGTAACGCTGAATTTAAATGAATGTGATAAAATGAAAATATTATAATTATCAGATCGAATCAATTTTTTTATAAATGTCTTAATAAAATAAATAATTGAGACAATTGAAACAGGACATTACAATCAAATTTGAATTTGAGAGAAACATAAAACTTTTGTAAACTTCCTCCCTCCCTTACCTCTAAATTTTTTGTGGTCAAATTAAGAGACATAGAGGTGTTTTGGAAAGTGATTTATAAATTGATTTTTTGACTTATTACGAAAAAATATACAAATAAATCAATCAACTAATAAGTTAGATCCCAAAACGCCCATAATTAAGTTATTCAAGGAAATCTCTAACCTATTTTTTGAACAAAAACAAATCTTAGAACTTCTAATAAATTCAGAAAATTCATGTTAAAGTTTGCCATGAGCCCACTTCGTGCCTGAATCCAAATCAAAAATATGATTGAAGCCTTCGAAATTTGTGTAAACAAGAAGGTCTTGAGCCCATTAAGCACAGAAAAGAGAGAGCAACCACTTTCGTACTTCTATTTTCTTTCTACATTAATGCTAACTCTAAATAATTGGGGTAAAGATTTGTTTTCAGTATTTTTTATTACATTTTTTGTAAATAATCAATGAGCCTCTACTCTATTTTATTACTTTCTTCTATTTAATCTTTTATATCGGTCTTAAAATTATATTAAATTTAGTATAACAAAACAAATATAGGATTTGACTATTCGGTAGAATTTATATGTTCCCTACCTCTAATCTCTTCCTCCTTATTCCATAATCAAACGCCAGATGAACAATCTAGCAAGGTCCACATATTCTTCACTTACAATCATATCAATAATTATGAGACAATCAAATGTGCTCTTATATTATTATAAAAGCTCAAGGCACCAATTTTCTCATTACGGGATTTTATAAATTTTTTTAAAAAAATTATTATGATTATCTTGAAATAATTTAATATTTTGTCTTGCAATATACATGAAATTTATAAGTTAAAATTTTAAATTATTAGTTTTAAAAAATTTAAATATATATATACATGTATTTAGCGCAATTTAGATAATTTGTATTAAAAAAAAGTTAAACCTGATTAAATGAGATTAACTGAGTTATGACATATCTCTTCTTATTATGAAAATATACAAATTTAAAAGTCATATTTAAAACAAATATATAATTTTATTATTAAATATGAAGTGAAGTGATATTTAACAATAATTAATATGATGTCTCTATTATTAATCCAATAATTTTAGTTACATAATTTCAATTTCATAACTAAAAATACAATATGAATATAATACACATACGGATTTCTAGTCTTTGTGAATAAGAAGATTTCAAAATATTTTCAAACTTTCATCATTTTCTTTTAATTTTTTTTTATCTAATTTGATTTTAAGGGCTAGTTTGGCATGTACTAAATAAGTCAAAAAGTCAAAAAGTCACTATCTTATTTAAGTCACATCATCTTATTTAAATCACATCACCTCTCTAACACATCACATCAAACCCAACCCAAACCCACCAATAAGTTAAAAAGTGCACTTTTTTAGGACATCCCAAACCAACCCTTAAATTTGAATAAAAATTTTGATTTGATATAAATTACTCTAACTTTTTCATTAAATTTTTATCAATTTTTAAAAGAACTTTCATTCTTATCTCAATTTTTTTTCTTTTCACCAATTTTGATGGAAAAAACATAATTTTCAATGTTTCATCTTTTTAAATTTTTATCAAATTATCATTTGATAAAAAAATATATATTAAGGGTTGAAGATTCTCTTAATTGGAATTATAGTGAAACAACATCTTGAAATAGTCAAAGTTTGAGTATGTGATTTGTTGAAACGTATAATTTAATTAATTTTCTTCTCATATTTGTATAAAGATTGACAATTATGACTGCATCATAATAAATTGGATTATGGAAAAAAATTTGGGGTCAAACATTTTAAATTTGTAAATATCCTACATATTAAAAAATGAAAAAAAAAATGTGCAGCTTTTTAATATGTATTTGTAACGCCCTCAAAATAGTATGATAAATATAGTCCAAGCATGCTCATTTGATAACATAAACCGGAGTAAATAGTCTTTTCATTACATAAAGTTAGTGAATACAAGAGTTTAACATAACAACTGCCCTTATGGCTTATACATTTCCAAGTCTCGACTTGGTTACAACAAAAGAGAGATACTGGCTCTTACAAATAAGTCCTTGGCTATACAAAAGACTATTTAATCAAAAAAAAAAACTCGTGCTTTCAAAGGTCCCCCCTAGCTATTATTTTGGTGGAGGCATGTCCTCAATACCTGAAAATGTTTTCCCTAAATAAGGTGAGCCACAGCCCAATAGGAATAATCTAACACAGTATATGAAACTTAGCAAAGATATAGGTACACTAAGCATATACAACGTCAGTAATAAAGACGCCCATGTTTTATATAGTCATGAAATACCAAACTCAATTCTTAAGCCATTTCCTTTCGATTCAATTCATTACATGAGCCAATTTCATCGTTTCTTAACATCCCAAATGAGACTACAACTCATTAGTTCTATAATCACATCATCAACACATAAACACTTCAAAATTTTCTTTCATGGATATTTCATCTGCGTGCAGCTGTCAAACGGGACCTATGTAAACGTAGGCTATACAAGCGCTACAATTGCCATTTTAAGAATATTTTGTCCGCAGGCTAGGCACTCATGTATAATTTTGGGACTTTCACCCAGGACACTCTGGCCAACTTAATTATAATGGAGTCCATCTCTTTTCTCCTCCCAAACAACCATTTATACATATACAATGTATTAAAACACAAAATCAAACAATGGAGTACATCCTCTTTCCACTCCCACATAATCATACATGTACAATGTATATAAACATAGTCATGTTTAATGACAAACAACAAGAGATTAGTTTCAATTCACCTAATCCTCATGCGATTTCTACAGCAATCATAGTTATCCTCCACCGATAACCCAATACAGTTATTTCTAAACAGATATTCAATCTCATAACAGATAATTTATTCAAACTTTCAAAGAATGAGTTAATACATAACCAATCTCACCATTCATATCAATACATTCTCAATTTCACATTTTCAATGTCAATTTTAATTATTTATATAAAATAATTATGATAGTTATTTTAGGGCAAAAATTTCCCTTTTTCCAATATCAATTCAAATAACATTCTCAACCATTTTGACCTACCAAAATCTCATCTTCACAATCCACATTCATTTATTTCATGTTCAACAACAATCCCTCTTTCCATATTATACCCAAACCCTAGGTTTGCTTACAACACCCCCAAATTACATCATTGTTACACAAGATACAAATAACTAAGCTAAACATCATATGAAGGTATAGAAAAGATCCCTACCTCAAAGGAAGAAGATGAGCCAAGCAAGAGTGAGACTTCAAGAACGACGAAACCCACTTTTAATCGAATCAAAAGGGAGACCTTGATGTGCTCTACTTTTTTCTCAAAGCACTAGGGTGGAAATCCCAATGGATCTAGATGAAATCTTAGAGAAAATGTGAGTTTTAGAGAGAGAATGTGTAGATCTAGATTTTTGGAAAGTTTTAGAGAGAGAGAGAGAGAGAAGAAAAAGTGATTCAAAATGACATCTCACGGACTGATATACACACAGTCCACTCGAGCGTGGAAAGTAACGCTCAAGCGTCAGACACAAAGGTCCGCTCGAGCGCAAGAAGTGAAGCTCGAGCGTAGAATACACATTTCTAGAAGTTTTGCTGACGAAGGACCCCACTCGAGTGTGAGAATGGACGCTCGAGCGTCCAATGCGCTTTCCCAGTATTTTCAGAACTGCAAAAATGTTAAGGATTGACAAATCTTGCTCGAGCGCAAGAATGCCCGCTCGAGTGGAAGAGCCAAAATTTGGGCAACAAAGGTTTAGAAAAACAAGTAACCAACCTGTAACACCCTCAAAATAATACATATAAACCCAACATTCATGATATACAAAGACAAGAGAATAAAACATATTTCTATTCATCAGAGTGTTCTTTACAAAAAAATATTACATGTTGACAACAAAAGTAAATGCCCTACGGGCTTACAACTTTTCAAGCCAACACTTGGTTGCAAAAAAAAAAATGAGTACTAACTCAAATACACATTAAGCCCATGGCTTGAATTTACATGTAATATCAAAAAGACAACAGAAATAATCAAAAGAGTCTTCAACTCCCAAGACCTCCCAAGCTACGTCCTTTGAGGTGGCATAACACCTGAACCTGAAAATGATGTCCCATATAGGGTGAGCCAACGCCCAGTAGAGATATGCTAAACATAATATGAGCAATAACTAAAACATTAGTATTTAATAAATGTTTAACTCATACAAACAAACATATATATATATATATATCTCTTTCCACTCCATTACCCAAACTAATTCAAAGATATGGTTCTCAATTCATCCAGACAGTTTATAACGAGCCTCCAACTCATATCAATAACACTTCAACAATTTAATTTCAAATGAGACTACAACTCATATTATGATCATTTCAATAATTCAATTCATCTATGTTACGCAAACGTAATTAGGATTTCGGGACTTTCACCCTGGACACTCCGGCCAACTTAGTTATCACTGGAGTCCATCCTCTATCTCCTCCCAAAATCCGGTTTAGGAGTCCATCCCCTATCTCCTCCCAAACCGTGGAGTACATCCCCTATCTCCTCCCAAACCGTGGAGTACATCCCCTATCTCCTCCCAAACCGTGGAGTACATCCCCTAACAACATACATATACAATGTATTTAAACACGTATCATATACAATGATCAAGCAAAGCACA